GCAGGAAGCAGTCTTGTCACCTGTATGCCTTCACACATCTACCTCAGCTTTTTTTGGGTGAGCCAGGCAGGTTACTCTCTTTGAGTCTGCCCATGTGACATACTCATGACAGGCTCCCCATTGTTTTTCTGGCTACTGCCAGTCAGTAGAAAGCAGCTCTTTCCTGACCTTTGTAATTCTATTTCTCTGTTTGGGCTGTGCATTTTGCATGAGAGAGACTCTTGGGATACTTTAGGGACTGTAGCAATAAGGTGAGCACTTAACTGCATTGTTCCAAGTACTCTGATCTGTGAATTCACTATACTTTGTTGGAACACCTTGTTCCACTTTAGAATTAGTTAAACCAGGTTAAAAAAATGCAGATGTGCATGTCTACGTTAATAGGCACTGCAGTTACAAATGTTTATAAAGTACATAGATGAAGAAATTAAAGGAATGCCATGTTTGATTACCTTACACAAGGACTAACTGGCAGTTTAATCTGAAGTCAGATAACGTCTGTTCTGACTTTGCCTTTAAAAATTGTCTAATTTTTCCAACTATACTAGTTAATATAATAAAATACATGAGATTTTTGCTCAAGCGTTCAGTAATTTTCTAATTTATCAGTATTTTTAATGTATAAGCCATAATGCATGCAAAATGAAACTTCAGAACTTCCTCTTTACAGTGTTAACAACTCAAGTTTCTATTTCTCTAGATGAACCATTATTTAGCACAGCAGTACACGGTACAGAGTCCAGTGGGTCAACAATTTCCTTACTTTCAGATGACTCCACCACTGCCTTCAAATTTATCCTTTTCTCCCTATCAGAATCAAGCTGCAACTTTTAAGTCTGCACAGAGTTCTTTTGAATTAGCTCTGCCACATTCAAGTGACTATGAAGTGCACCAGGTGGATGAAAGCACCTCTAAAAGAAAGAGAGAGCAGCAAAGTTGTGACAGTGACACTAGCATTGAGGATGACAAAATGAGACAAAGAGAGCGTGACCAAAAATACAAGAAGCGCAAAGTCAAGAAAAAGATGCATTAATACTCTGTAACTGTATTAATCTTTGTTTGTTTGTTTGTTTGCTATTTTTGAGAGAAATGTAATCTTTCATCTTTGCACTTTATTAAAAGTGGAATGTTCATAATTCATATTATTTTTGAAATGTGGTATGCATAAAGTATACTGATTATTTAATCTCAACCTGTTTAAAGAGGAAAGTTTAAGGTTAAAAAAAGTTACGGTATAGGAAACATCTATGCATCCAGAAGATAAAGTTTTCCTAATAAAAAGAAAAAGCCTAGTTGATTCCCTCTGCCCCTCCCAAATCATGGAAGGCTGTTATTTCACTAATATTGAAACTTAATAAAAACACACTATTTCAGCCGCTCAGGAAGCGTATATATCACTTCTATCACTTACGGAATATATTTTTGTGAATGGTGTAAGAATTTTCTGGAGCCACTAAAGAAGTGAGCAGGGTTCTAAATGTCACATGAGAGGTGTGTTCATCACTGAAGTATCAAGACTTATAACTTGCTCTTTTTTTCTGATTTAGCTCTCCTGTTACTTTCACTTAAGATCACCTGGTATGGTTACTGAAACTGTTTTTTTTTCTAGTAGTAAATTTGAGGTAAAATATGGGCATTTGCAGTAACTATATATGTATCAATGCTTGAATGTATGTACCTAATGGCTACAGTTATGTACTGACTGAAACTACATGCATATATATGCATCTTTCTATAAAGTTACTCTCTAGTGTTTTATTTGCTTATTTGAGAATCTAAATGTTCGTTGTAACAAGTGGATGAAAAATACAATTGATATCCAATTGACAGCACAAAAGCTGTACTACCTCTTATGAAGAAAAGTTTTTCCCTTCTTTAGCAGATGAAGAATAAACCATCTCACACTGCAATGAATCAGATTAGCCAGTGACCTATTTTCTACCTTTCACAAATGCCACCAGCAACATATTACAGACAGATAACAGCTGTATTGTGTTACAAAATACCAAGTACAGGTGAAGCGCTTTAAGGATGCCATTACAAGAGAAAAGAATTTTCAGCAATTTAGTTCTAAGAATATTTACAAGATTAACAATATTATTATTGCAAGGCAGTGCTCTGAGGTGGTGTCATGAAGCAGCTCGCTCTGTAGGCCCAACTCCAAGACAAAAGGGCTGTTGTCATTTGTTATTTTCTGATGCACTAATAACCTGCAGGTAGCAGGTAGCACACATCCAGCTAACAGGCAGTATTAAGTAAAAAAAAAAAAAGAAAGAAAAAAAGGTTTTTATACGTTCAATCACAAGATAGGATGCACGTGCACCGCAACATGCCTTTCCCTCTCCTGCACTCTCAGTTTGGAATGCCGCTCGCTGTGTGTGCTGCAGAGCACATACCCGGGCTGCCATCGAATAATGCCAAAGAGGCAAAAAATCACAGGCCGGCCCCGCTGGATCCGAGCTGGGGAGAGGGCTGAGGCATGGGGTGGTGGGACGGGGCTGGAAGGTGGATAGAGGTACGAGCTGATGTGTTTCTTGGAGGAGAGCGCGGGTGTTTGCTGTGTATTGGTGTCGTTGTTTAATAGTTTGGCTTTTCACTGAAGCTACAAGAAGAACTGGTGTGGAAAACAGGCAGGATCTCAGCACCTGCCGCGCACGTTTTTGATGGGTGGGTTTTTTACACCACCTACCGAAAAGAAATGTCACTGCATCTTCGGTTAGAAACTATTTTAAGACCGTAAGTGCGAAGGGGCAGAATTTACTCCCTAGGTGAGCTGAAGTCATTCTTGGGCGGGGTTACACATTCCTCAAGGAGTATTTGTTTGCCTCTATTGCATCTGTCTCCGGTGACTTGGGAAGTTGCCAGCAGTGCACAAGCCTCATTCTTCTCATTTCTGTGTATGGTAATGCTTAACCTCTTAGGGTCTGAGAGGAGTTTGCTGTTCTTCAGGTGTTGACAGAAGTTGCAAATTTCCAATAGCTAGGTTTTTCAAATGAGGAAGGAAAAACCCTGCAGGATGTTAACTGCCGAAGATTTAAGGAAGGTTTCCTTGTATTGGACATAGAATCACAGAATATCTCGAGTAGGAAGGAACCCATAAGGGTCGTTGAGTCCAACTCCTATACTTTACTGTTGGTGTCATCAAACTCTAAGGTATGAGTAAACAGTGTAAAATCAAGCTAAGCTGTTGGTTAATATCCTTTTACAACAACTTAAGTTCTACTAAGTCATGAAACTGCAGATATCTTTAATTCTTCGTACCTTATGTTACAGTGTATTTGTGGGAGAAAGTAACATTTAAAAGGGTAAGTAGAGAAAAACCTTATTATAGCTCAGAATTAAGTAGCTCCAAAAACTGTGTTTAGTAACAGAAAAGAAACCCATAACAAACCAAACCAAACTTTTTCTTCAGTCTTTCAAGTAACATTGATACTTTTTCCTTTTTCCTTTTTTTAAACAGAAACACAGCTCTGAAAAAAATGTGGGGTGTTTTTCTTCAGTAAATTGAGATATTCCTTGTTTAGCAGGTGAGAATTTAATGAACTGCTTGTTGATGTTCATTTATGCCCACAGAGTGGCACACATTCCACACTGTCATTCTGGCTTGAGCCAGAGCCTGAGTCTGAGATTGCTGTTAGCTTTTTGTAAAAAAATATAATCGAAGTTTCAAAATTCTAGAGGTCATAAACAGATATTCAGTGAAGTGTTGTTTATACATAATAGCAGTCATTTTATATGTTATCTGATGGCATTATTTAAAACATTAATATTTTTATAACTAAGTACAATGTTCTTGTCACAATAGAGAATATTTTTTTGACAACAGGATACAAAATGTCAAATTAGGCTGTCCTTCTTTTACTATCTGTCTATGTGAAGTTTTTCAATAGACAAAAGTTTAAAAAGTTTCCCTTACACTCCTTACACTCCACTTACATTCCTAGATCTCCACGAACAAATACGCAGTAATACATTTAAGGTGTTTTCCAAGTTGCCAGTTTCATGCTTGTTTTTTTCCCTCTTTACTGGCAGGCTGCATGTTAATGCTGTAGATGACCTGCTCATAACCACCAGTAAAGTCCCTCCACTTCTTGGGAAATTTTCCACTTGAGAATAGGAACTGAAAGCTCAACTGCATCAAATCGTTTAGCTTCCTGTCACTGATATTTCAGATGTTTTTTCAAACAATTTAATGTTTTATGTCTTGTGACTGTTACTAATTTTTAACGTTTTTCTTTATTCTTTTAAAATGATTTGAGCATTTACACTTCAAAAATCTAAGATTGACAAAAAAACATTTTAAGAATATACAAATTGCTACTTGCTTTATTCAGTATTACTAATTTTAAGGTAAAACTGAGGTAAGCTGAGACAAAACAATCTGATTGTTTCAAGGGTTAAGAGTATTTGGTTAAACTCTGTCCCTGTTGAAGTTAGGAGTTAACCATCAGTTTCAGAGTAGCTTTGTTTTTTACCAGTCCTTAAATTCTACACCATAAATATGAATTTTACTTTTTTTTTCTAGAAAATGATGCAGTATACTGAATGCAGTGCTTCTAACTTACATTTATGTATTCATGATGTCACAGTGTTCTCCCAAATGTTCAGGCTAGGCTATCTTTTTTATTTTTTAACCAATTCCACAGTGGTTAACAAAAGAAAAGAGAGGGAGAGAGGAAAAAAAAAAAAAAGGAATTCAGTTTCTGTTCACTAATGTGGTGAACATTAGCTATGTTCCCTCTTTCCAGTCACAAGCAAACACAGGCAAACTGGAGATGATGACGTGCAGGGCATTTGGTAGCTGTTTATCCTCTGGCAGCAGTGAGTTTTAGCACTGAGATAAGTTATGCAGAATTCTTAAAAGAACAGTTACCACTTGAGTAGCAGTTGATCTGCTTTCCTCATCTGTGTCAAAAGTGCTCTTAGTGGGAAGCTGTGTTATTTTTGCCTTAATTTATCAAGCCTGAGGCAAATTCACTTTCTATTAATGTTACAACTTCAGGAGGTATTTGGATAGCCCTTGGGGATAGTGAGATCAACCCCTACCAGAATTTTACAACCTCCAAAAAGCAGGATAAGCACAATGGCACAAAGTTAACACCAACCCCAGCACTGGGGCAGACTGTAGAGAAGACAGACACTGCATTTGTGTTGCAGCCTGGAGGGAGGGAAATGCCTACCAGCTTGAAAGCATTAGAGCTGCCACTAACAGGGTGTACACTCCAATGTCTATGCATGTGCCTCTCATTGATTCCTAGATATTTGGGACTTCCTTTATGTTCAAGAAATTGTCAATAGTAACCCTTTTGCATGTGTCCCCCCTCAAACTGTATGGAACAGTCACTCTGATGATATACACACCAAAACCCTTTCTACCAAAGTGTTAAATCTGACATGCTTGTTGAAAAGTCATCTGTTTTATTTTCAGAGTTCCTTTAGATTCAGTGTATTCATCAGCCTTGCCATTTTTAAGACCAGTTTTAGTGTTTGTTGACAATTAATTGCACTTTGTTAAAATTTTTAAAGCTGAAGATCTGCTGTAAGGAAACTTTTATTGTACCTGTGCAGAAACCCAGTAGTTTAATGTTGTTACCTTGGTTAAAGATGAGTTGCAATATAATGAGTCATCATTCCTGGAGGTATGTATAGACATAGCACTTAGGGACATGATTTAGTGGAGACTTGGCAATGCTTAGGTGTACAGTTGAGCTTGATGATCATATGGGTCTTTTCCAACCCAAATGATTCTATGATAATGCAGTCCTGTGATAGACAAGATACTTCTTTCCAGATCACAGTAGTATGTGGGCAGTCATAATACACACTTTTGTTTATGAAACACTACATTTTCCTATAAAGAAATACGGGATCAGAAATGTAGACAGATCAGAGCTACAAAGTGTCCTCAGAATTTGCTGTTCAGATATCGCAGTCTCCTTGGGCTATTCTTACTTCAGTTGAATTTCAGTGTATTTAAGGTGACTATTATTCCACTATTTAGTCTGTAGCCATTACAGGTTTACATCTATTATTTGGATTATAGAG